TCTGGACCGTTTATAGCGAATGCCAACCGACTCTTGACCGTCTTGACTGTGCTTTGCCCCACACCATCGGAAACGTGGACGTTAAGTGCCTAAAGTGCAACAGAGCAAGAGGAAGCCTAGGGAGAGGGAAGTCGAAAGAGAAGAAGATAAGTTGATTGTGCCGTGGTCGACCGGTAGCTTTTAAGACGAGAAACTCGGAAAATAATAGATGTGGTGTGTATATCAATATNTAGGGAGAGGGAAGTCGAAAAAGAGGAAGATAAGTTCATTGTGCCGTGGTCGACCGGTAGCTTTTAAGACAAGAAACTCGGGAAATAATAAATGTGGTGTGTATATCAATAATTCAATCATGAACGATCTTATTTCACAGTGTGCGAGTTGGCTAGAGGGTAACAAAGACCCGGTCCATGTACTCGAGGTCTTGAGAAGCCTGCATCCGGGCTCTCTCAACAAGAATGTCCGGCGAGTCAGGCGAGAACGGATGCAAGCATACGGTCCCAGCTATAACGATGGCACCATCAGGAAGGACATTACGCGTATATTGAAAGTCATACAGAGGAAGGCGTCGTCGCTAGCCAAGAAAACCTCAAGTGAATCAAGGAAGAAATACAGCTTGAAACAGCTCAAAATGGCCGAGAAATGTATCGTTTCGTTCGCGAACTCGGATTTGTTCGGTAAATGGGCAGCGCGAAATACCGGTCACTCACGGAAGAAGTCCGTCACTGGGGTCGTCGAAATAGATGAGCTCCTGCGAAAGGTAAATATACTTCCACCTTACGTCTCTCGGCTGGAACTCACCGGGAGAAAAGAGCCTTCCAAGGAAAAGACGTCGAGAAGCCTTGGCAGCGAAGTGCGAGAAGAGCATCAGAGTGAACGCAAGCGATCTTATCGATCTCATGGTAGCAATCATTAGATATCCTAGAGCACACTACTTCGAATTGGCGTGCGCGTTATCATTTGCCTCTGGGAGGTCGTTGCCAGAACTTATTGGTGCTACTGCTGTCCAATTTTCGCCCAGTAATCACGGCACTCACGAGGTAGATGTCAAGGATGGTGGAGGAAGCTGTCGGATACCATTATTATGCGAATACGAACACTTTGTGGGGGGTGTCAATCGGTTGCGCGGAATGAAAGATACATCCTGCCTAACGCCCGCCGAGGTAAACCATCGATTTAGTAAATCAGTTAATTTGTACGCCAGAAAATTGCTTCCTGAAGAAGTCGGATTCCGTGTATTCAGCGATTCGAAGACGCTCCACGTCGTGATTAGTCATTGATGTATTCATCATACGGCAGGGGAGGCTTTACCGGGAGCAACAATAATTTACACGATTGCATGTTGGACCCAGAGGCCACAGCATATAGTTTCGTTCAACGGGTCCGACGCACGTCTTGGTATCCTTTTATTCAAGCAGGGGGCGGAGATGCCTTGGTTGCGTCGGGTGAAATATTNAATAATTTACACGATTGCATGTTGGACCCAGAGGCCACAGCATATAGTTTCGTTCAACGGGTCCGACGCACGTCTTGGTATCCTTTTATTCAAGCAGGGGGCGGAGATGCCTTGGTTGCGTCGGGTGAAATATTGTATCATGAAAGGCGGGGGCGGGTCGGAATGGAACGGGTGCAGAGAATGAAACAACACCAAACAGAACCGTCTGAAACGAACACGACGGGCGGGGGCAATAGGCTCAATCCAACCATGAACCAGTTGCTCGCTCTTAAGGCATCGCGTTCTGTTCGATCGACTGTCAAATTTTCATTCCAAAAGTCAAATAGCACGCTTTGGCGGCTTTATTTCCCGCGAGAAACTTCCTTCACAGGGTCCATTGCACGCAACGTTATTCTTATATTCTATGGAGCAGGGAGCGGGGATGTCATGCTTGCGTTGGGTGCCTCTCACACAGGGCAACAAGCAAAAACAATCTGTTCAAATAACCGCAATCGAGACTAAGAGCGGCCGTAAGGATTTCAATGAAACTAGGGTACGGAACGGCCCCCATTGGTAGGCGTTCCTTCGTCATGTAGTGGTGCACAACTAACACTATTCAATTTTCCTGTACGGACGCGCTGTGACATTATAGTCTGAATTCACACGAGTAAATACTTTGCATCATCCAATGCTTGTTGGCGGTTGGACCTACAGCTTGCTGAAAACAAACAACAACAACAACAACAACAACAACAACAACAACAACAACAACAACAACAACGACAAAAACAACAACAACAACAACAACAACAACAACAACAACAACAACAACAACAACAACAACAACAACAAGACACACACTTGAATAGGTCAGTTTTTTTAAGCATGAAGCCAGGATCAAAGGTGAACAGTACCGAGTGATGTAAAGTAAAGGTCTCGGCCTTGCACCGTTGACTACGTAGAAACAAGACTGAACACAAGCAAATATAACAGTACTCCAATCAACCCAGTGAAAACCACGGGCTTGGAGTTTTTCCAACGTTTTTCACTCACCTCCCGCTCGCCGGTCCTCTGTGTAGGCCTCGAGGTTGGTCTCCTTCTGAAGCTTGTGCCAGTCGCTTGTCTGCTCCGGCCCAGAAGACACGCCGATCTGCTCATCGGTCGGGGGAGGGACGGGCGCCGACTCGCAGCCTGCGTTCGGCCCGAGCGCGCCCGCAGTACCCCTCGCGATGACGTCGACGTCTTGGATGAAAGTGTCAGGGTTGATCGGGTTCATGTCATCGACGAACGTCGTAGCCGCTCCATGTACATCAAGGAGTCTCTTGTCGATCTTCGCCTGGTGGTGCGCGTGAAAGTGGAGGCCGGTACCCACTCTGTCCATGATGTGGTAGGATGGCGATGGGCAGTCGAATGTAGTGGCGTCCGTTGTACCGTCTGGTTTAGCCCGGAACGGGTTTATGGCGTGGCCACCCTTGGCCTTGCTGCCATCCACTTCTCCGATCTCCAGTTGTTTGAAGTTCGACGGCGCGGCCGGGTCGTGAATGGTGATACACATCCATCCGCCACTCCGCGTTTTTCCCATCTCGGTGACGTCGCCCTGACTGTGTGTATTGTTGTACTCGTTGTTGCACGAACCGTCGTGTGGTGCTCGGCCTCGTCTTGCACAACGCTCCCAGCGGCTTCAACAACGGGGCCAGCGAGGGGAAGTGGTCGGCAATAACGAAGTTGTTGTGTTGTGAGCGACCGATCGGTTGTTTTTGCCATACCCGCTTTCCTCCGATCGTCACAACGTTGGACTTCTCGGCCTCCTGCGCGAAATGATTGTGGTCGATGAAGAAGCTGCCAGTAGCCACGTGGCCCTCTGCAACAAGACGCTCAGTCGTCATGTCCTCATACTCGGGGAGAACGGACCTGTAGTCGTGTCTTATTTTCTTCCTCTTCTTCGACGCGCAGGGCTGTTGTGTCAGAAAGAGGTGGCAATATGAAACACGTGGGGCGGATCGAATGATCACGACGCGAAAACCAAACGACTTAGACCAGTACGACATCGAGGTATTGCTACTAGATCGAACGTATAACCGGAAAAAACCGTTGTTTTCATGTTCGGTAGTGCTCTTTAATCCCACACGTGACACTTACATGAGGGTTGTGGCGAAGGGGGGAAAGAGGTGGCAGTGATCTCATTTCAAGAAGCGTCGAAATGGAAACCCGATCCGAGGCGTGTTGTAGGATTCGGCGGGGGAATCGTTGCTAATTCGCACGTATAGTCTAGTACGATAAAAGTATAAACACAAACCACCAGTTGTTTCTATCCCCACCCCTCGCCCCCTCTAAAACGTATTCCCCGGCCCGTCGAGATCGTGAGATGTGGCAAGCTGGCTTGTTCCTGTCTGTCTCCCGCCCGGATAATCAAAACAGAATAGCTCGGAACTTATTACCCNGAGGCGTGTTGTAGGATTCGGCGGGGGAATCGTTGCTAATTCGCACGTATAGTCTAGTACGATAAAAGTATAAACACAAACCACCAGTTGTTTCTATCCCCACCCCTCGCCCCCTCTAAAACGTATTCCCCGGCCCGTCGAGATCGTGAGATGTGGCAAGCTGGCTTGTTCCTGTCTGTCTCCCGCCCGGATAATCAAAACAGAATAGCTCGGAACTTATTACCCTTTTTTGTTGCTGTGAGTCTTCCTATGCGATCTTGGCTTGGATGCTCTGGTGGAGTAGACAAGGAGAGCGTGAGGTGTGAGTACAGTGGTCTCAGCTCAATGTTCCGTCACCGAGCGGACGAAGTATCGGGGGATCGGGGTGCGCTACCCACCGCGTACGTATTTGTGTTGAATGCCGAGGTTCTTGTCCTGGTAATGTTTGAAGTCCAGTAGAGCTGCGATCAAAGTGTCGTGTGTTACNCTGTGAGTCTTCCTATGCGATCTTGGCTTGGATGCTCTGGTGGAGTAGACAAGGAGAGCGTGAGGTGTGAGTACAGTGGTCTCAGCTCAATGTTCCGTCACCGAGCGGACGAAGTATCGGGGGATCGGGGTGCGCTACCCACCGCGTACGTATTTGTGTTGAATGCCGAGGTTCTTGTCCTGGTAATGTTTGAAGTCCAGTAGAGCTGCGATCAAAGTGTCGTGTGTTACTAGAAGTTCTGACCATATCGGGACAACATGGGAGAAGACTCCGGGCGGGTCAGACTGACCACTTGGGGGTGTCTCTTCGTCCACACACATGTCCACAGTTTTTCAAAATCCTACTCTGAACACAACTCTGCTGACAATCCATACTTGCATTCCGAGAATCTAAGATTCTATCCAATCCTCCTCTCAAAAGACCTGTCGAATCTCTCAACTTGTTTCCCGTATATATACCAATCCGCCTCACAACTTCCCGATAGTTCAGTATCCTTTCAAACATGTCCCGCTCTTTTCCACCTGCTCTCTTTCCAAGTAGTACGCTTGGCTGCACTCAGTTTACACCAGCCCTGTCCCATACCACACTATTAACCGTAGTTACCCGGTAATTCCACAGTTCCAAGAAAAGCGGCCCGATTGCACCACATTCGCCCACCCTGATTCAGTGTCAACCTTTCTAAAGATAAGTTGTACACAGGAACAACTCCACAAGGTGCAATCTGCTACATATCTTCCTCATGCCCAATCCTCAACTCTGCTCCTTGATCCTCCTCGCAGCAAAGCATGCATACCCGGTTTCCTGCCGACTCAGCCTCATCGTTAATCTCTACAATTACGTTTCATCAATCTACAGCAGTCGTGATCCCAACAATCCTGTTTGATATGCTGTCAACCCCACCTAAACCACTTGTCAATTGACTACAAAATACTCTTCTCAATCTTCCAATCAACCTTTCGCTCTCAACTTTCATGTCGTACACTCAAAAGGCTCCTCATTGTTGTCCATGTCCTCCTCACGCCTGTTGCCTACAGTTCCTTCCATACAAATCTTCCTTCAATCCCTAACTCTTCTTTCTGTTCCAGTCAATTCCCACCATATTTCCTGCGCTCACTCTTGCAACTAT